GTAGGAACGCGGGTATCATTTCCATGTAAGAACGTGTCCTCCTTAGAATGTAAACACAGCACTCGGCGGAAGTCCTTCAAGGTGGCTCTCTTTTACATTCTTCTATTTCTTCCCTAAACATGATGCTCTTTTAAAAAGAAGTCAGATGCAAAGTTCTCTTTCCCCTGTTACGACTTAAGCAAACTTGCTTGTGTTCATTTAGTTCCCACATGGACAGTCATGATGGTAAATAAATGTTAAAATCTAGCGAAGTTTAAAAACAAAGCCAACCCGGAGGAGTTATTTTGACGGGGGTGGGCAGGAGCCACTACCGAAGTTTCAATGAATTGACATTTATGCCTAGAACTGAAGGGGTTAATGATTCATAAGGAAAAAGTCTTATAAATGTTTGACAGTACTAAGCGCCCTAAAGCAGAAGCAGTTCTGGTTTCTACTGCGACTACGCCAACAGCAGCAGCAGCAGCAACAACAACAACAACAACAACAACAACAACAACAACAACAACAACAATTTCTGATCAATTTCAGGATGAAAAACAACATCAAGTTCCTTACCAAGGTCGTACCCACACGTTTTTCCAAGCAAATATCCAACATCGGAGATAAGTGTCGCTCATCTCTACACAGTCCACATTTCCTCCGCGTCCCCTGGCGGGCTGAGGACTGACGCGCACCTCGGCGATCCCTCCTTTTGTACGGCCGCCCCGGCGCCCGCGTCCCGGCTCTCTCGGCCGCGGACAGGTGCCGCGCGCTGCTCTGCCTCTCCGCAGCACTGGAGGGCTGAGTGTCACTGCAGCACTTTCAGTCTGTGTTAACCAGACCGGAGGCTCCTTTCCCCTCCCTGCAGCAGATTTCCCATTCGTCTGATTCACTCCCACCAGCTGCTGAAGGGGGGCGTGGCCATACCTGAACTCGCCGGGGCCGCGCAGAGCTCGGCCCAGGGCTTTCCCCCCGGATCGCCAGCAGCCCCGAGCTTCCTCTCTTCGCATGTGAATTTCAACATTTACTTGGAATCTTCTCACTTCCCTTTGAAAGCACTTAACCTCAACGTTCGCTCGGGCTGTATTGTATTCTAAATACTCAGCCCGCCCTCCTTCCTGCCGAGACTTTCTAAGGGGGCGCACATTCCTTAAATTAGGGGAACCTAAAAATTACCTAAAAATTTTGTAGTTCCTCGGCTCGAATCCACACTTTAACGAACGTACACCATTTACCTGAAAAGAGCATGCGAAATTATTTTTCCATGTGATGTAATAAAATGAAGCTGACTAGTCCTCCGGCTCTGGCCCGTGAAATGCACATTTCCCCTCCAAAACTCGTCAGCTTCCATTTCTCCTGCTAACTGAAATACATCCACATTCGGCAGAACTAACTTCCCTCTTTCAACTCTTTAGTAAATAGGGAAATAGGGAAGACTTATAATCCTACAGATGAAAATTTTTTTGCCTTTGCTCTCCTCCCCAAACCCACAACCAAACTCTGAGGGGCGCGTGTAAGCAAAGTGTAGGGCATTAATCTTTTCACAGTTCAAGAGAATGTTGAACTGATCACTCCAAGTGGAGGGCAGACGGAGGCAGTAATTAGTGGGGCTCGTTCCACTCCCTGTCCGGCTTTTCCTCCAGCCCCAGTCAGTCCTCTGTTGAAGGAAGGACATCCTGTGATGATGGCATACAATGTCCTGTTTGTTTATTATTAAGAGCGTGGACCTTGCATTCCTGCTTCTCATTACAAAACAAACCAGATGCTTTACTTCCTTCAATGGTCTTGTGCCTTCAGCAAGGAATCCTCTAATTCAGAGAAACAATGATGCAAAGGGTCCATTTATAGCAAGCACCCCATTACAATTACTGTTTAGATCACTGAAACACCAGTCTCCCACTTTTCCTGCTTGCCTCATATAGGTGGTTGTTTCTGAAATCATCTCTCCTTCAACCTTGGGCTGCAATGTCTTTTCTAACATTTTAAATACACGTGTGCATACACACCCACGTCCCAACACACACACACACCCACATATACACACCCAGTCCCAACTTAATGATACCAACTTAGTCACACAATGAAGTGGACATTTGAGTATTTGTTTACGGGAAGAAACAAAGCAAAACAAAAGCCCAACTCAATCATCAAAATATGTCTGTTTATCTTTAACATTTCTTTTCTATCTTTCAGGAAACTTTTCTAGAATTTCTTTTGGGGGGGGGTGGTGGGTAGGCGGGAGGCAAAGATTATTTGCCAGGAAATGCTTTTTGTGTCTAAAGTCCTTGTACAATCTCTGTAGTACAGAACAATTACATTCCCACTAGGGGACATAAGTAACACACACTCCCTGCTTGACTGCCCGGGGGCTGTTATTGCATGTTACGCCAGAGGGGACGCTAGCACCAAGAGGAAACAGGGCTTTTAATCGGCAGATGTGCTAAGGGTATAAAACTGAATGAACAATTCCTAAGAGTTCTCAGAAAGCTCTAAGATGATAATTAAACAAGAGAAATCCAGCCTTCTCGAGAGGGTTTATTAACTGATGCTGAGTCAGCGCCACAATGGACAGAAAAACAATGTAGTCATACTGAAGGCTGGCCTGCTGTTCAAGCAGTCTCGCCTGCAGATGTTAAAGAGTATTTCACTTCCCTTTTAGAGTCCAACTCTGTTCTTGGGCCACATACACCATGAAAGTGCTGGTGAGTCAACCACGGTGGAGTAAGGGAACAGGCAAAAAGTTGGATGTTTGAGGTGGGAAGAGGCGATTTGAAGCCAAATATTTACTTTAATGACTGGAAGATGCCAGTGAATCAACTCACTGTTAATTAATATCAGCCTGCACTCACCTTCAGAGGTGGTGAAATGGGCTTGAGTCTAGGGGAGGACTCAAACTTCAAATACCAGTGTGCTGCTTAGCCAGGCAACCCTAAAATTGGTTCCAGGTGCTCCAGCCGGACTGGAGAAGACCACGAGTGGAACTTGAAGGAAAGTACATTTTGAAACACAGTGTTGGGCTAGAAAATCCTTCAACTGTTTGTGTCTGGTCTCAAATAGTACCCCACCCTCCACCCCCATCAAACCATTTTTATTGCGATGATAGCCGTCAGGGAGAGGCAAAAATATAATTTAAAATCAAAGATGCAAAAAAGAAAGAAGGAATAAAGGAAGCATGCCCCATAAGAACAAGCATTTCATATAGTCATATTTAGGTATGGTCCAGCACAAAGATGTTACGGTGGGGGGTGGGGAGGAAGAGGGGTGAACTTCTGAGCTCTACTCACCCCTTGTAGAAGGCCCAAGTATCACATTTGGAATACTGACTAAAACAGGGAGATGGTAGAGAGCTGAGCACAGACAGCTATATCTAAGGCTGCCACTGTCTAGAATTTTAAGTCTCGAATGTTTGTTTCTAAATAGCAACTTGATGCATTTTTAGTCACTGTATTATTTCTCTCTCTGTTAGAACGCCAAAAACAAAAACAAAAACAAACAAACAAACCTCAGTTACCTTTATTCGTCAGCATTTGCCAGGCAGAATTCCCTCGTTAAGAGTGCTCACAATGGCGGCCAATTATAAATGATCCAGATAGCTCTGCTCTCGGAAACCCCCCTCTATTCCCTTTGATGGTCTCATCACAACCGCTCAACAAGCCCGCGTCTTTCAGTCTGAGCTACTGGGCCAGGCCTAGTCCCTGAGGAGTTAGGAATTGCAGTGTAGGTGGCCAGATGACTGTCTGGGGAGGAAGGTGTGATAGAATGAAGGGAAACTGAGTAGCAAATCTGGAGACCTGACTCCACTTGGGGGAAAACAAAAGATTTTTTTCCTAAAGAAAGTAAAAAACGGGATGAAATGTGCCCAAGATGAAACATGTTTTCATTTTCTAATTCAACTCCTGCTATACCCAAACAAGGTCAATGACAGACTAACCACATCAAGAGAACACCCCCCACCCTCTTCTCCTCACTCCCTACCCACCCACCCACCCTCACCCCCCACACCCATTTCCCGCTTCCTGTAAGTTAGGCATCTTCATGCTGGTAAACATTTGGGGACCAACTGCACGCCTGAGCTCTAAAAGAGGGGCGCCACGGCTTTGAAGCCCTCCCACATGTCTCGAAGCCAGGCTAAGAACTAGACGGACACTTGGCTTTTAAACTTTAACAGCCTTTTCAAACTCAACTCACTGGGCTCAGCTTTCTGGCTGCCTTCCTTTTTTAAAGCCGGACAAGAAGAGCAAGTATGTGTATGAGTGAGAGAGAATGTATGTATGACACATGCTATGTTACAATGCGGCCTGTGTGTCATTGGTATGATATGTGTATGATATGTTTCAATGATGTGTTGCATCAGTTTAAAAATAGCACAAGCCTTCCTTCTTATGACACGGCTCACCGCCCCAGCACTTTGGACAAACATACTCAGGGCCTAAACCTTGGGATGGTGATCCTAGGAGGCCATGGATGTTTTGAAATGAGGTCAGTGTTTTGACTTCCTAAATAAAGGAAACAAAAATTAAGTAAGCTGAAAAACCAGAGTCGAGCTCCCTGCCCTCACTAGGAATAAAAATCTGGTAAGCGCTACCCAGAGGACCTTATAAAACCCGCATGGTGTCTGAGGTCTCAGGATTCACAAAACCACCTGTGGATCATTCCACCTAAGCGTCTCTTCAGCACTCCTTTCAGGCAGACAGTTGTGTTCTTATCGAAACATTCATCTATTTTTAAGTTACCCATTGAGTTTGACATCCACCAACTTAATAAATAAGCAGTTATCTTTTCCATATGATGCATGGAATCCAATGTAGCTTTCCAATATTAGTTTTTATTCCTAATTATGTTTTTATTTTAGTGAATATTCAGACAAGAAAGGGACTTAAATTTCTGAAAAGGCTAGGAGGAAGGAAACTGAAAAGGAAGATCCTCTCTGAACCCAGAAAACGTTTCGGAATCTTGCATTTCGGTGGGGAAAAGGAATAGAATGAAACTAACAGAAAGCAAAATATAACTGTAAAATTAGGGAGAGAGCAACAGGGAAGGTGTACAGTCTGAAACTCGGGTTTCTCTGACCCTTCTCTTCGCTTAGGTTAAAGGAAGAGTAGTTTTCACACAAGAGAAGGAAGACCACGGGCAAAAGTTTGCTTCTCTGCCCTCATAGTGGCTGGAAAAGGGAGGGCCCCTGGTGAAAATAAAAGGAAAGGTTGTAGATAGGAATGGTTTTCTAGAGGAAGAGGGAGGAGGAGGGAGTGAGGTGAAGGAACCACAGTGGCAGCCAGGCAGGGCAGTCCCCACGGAACAGGAAAAGTGCCCCCATGGCTGGGCCTGCCACTGTGTGCTTCTCCAAAGCCACGCAAAGTTAAGCAAAGGGTCAAGGAAGAAGGACTTCTTATTAAAAATGGGACTGACAATTTCTTCTCATCCTTTCTAAGGAAAGATTCAAGACTGGAGAGGCTTGATTTTTATGTTCCAGGGTGAGTTATAAGAGAAGAGAGAAATTTATAAAGGTTAGTAGTGAAATCATTTGAACTCCCAACCGAAGAGAAAAAAGAAAAAAGAAAAAGAAAGGTAGGACCTTTGTAATTTGTTTAAAGATAGAAAGATGCCCCCCACGCTCTAGTTCAGCTCCAAAGGGAATTTAGTAGGTGGCTGGACTTGAGGACCACAGATCCAGCCAACACCTCATTTCCTGCTGAGGAAACTGAGGGCCATAGGTCAGGAAGCAGAAAGGTCACCTCTCCTAGCCCTCCTTTTGCTACTTGGATCTTACGTTCAACTGGGAACCTGGTAGATGCCAGCCCA